ACAGCCACAAATCGGGTGGTGGCGGGTTTTAACGACACATTTCTATAGTTACGCGCTCTAACCCAAAAAAAGCGTCTCTCATGGATGACATTGGTCGCGAAAGCCTACGTGTTAAAAAGATTACATTTGTTTGGGGCGTTCAGGAATTGTCTTCACGTGTGTATCCGTGACTCTTGAATGCGTCAGAGCGGAAATGGAAATGTTTGATGGATGACAGAATTGTATTGTTTTATATTTTTTTTATTTTATTGTTTCTCTTCTACGTGACTTTACCGAAAGAACCAAGAATAGGATGACAGAACGTTTATCATTTTTACAACATTGTGTTTTGAAGCTATGAATCAATCTGACACTCTTAAGTAAGACAGATTTCCTGTTTGAAATATACTGTTGGACTTGTGCGACCCCCCTCCACGTTTAGTAACGTGATCCTGTAGCAGAAAGCTACAGTTCTCTCATTACTGGGGCTTTCTTTGACGCAATACCGGTTATTATTTTCAATTTGCAATATGTTGTACTAGAAGTTCTCCCAACAGCTGTTTGGGAATTGCTCTTCATAACAGCCATGTGACAACGTTAATTGTTGCAAAATACACGTACATAGATAATCATTTAACATTGCAAATACCTAGATTCATGCGTTAAAAATCATTGTCATTATTCATCTCGAATGTGTTCCTTTTGGACGAATATCGTTTTGTTAATGTTATTATATAGGAATGCAATGTATGACTTTCAGACTGCAAATTTTAGTGCGCATAATATATCATCTTTATATATATAATAAACATTCGTGAAATGTCTTTTTTTTTTTCAAATACATATGCTGTACACACATCTGGGGTGTTACACAATTTAGGCAGAGTCACAAGCCAAGACGTTTAACAAACCGTCCTCGTAACACCGTACGTGCGGTGTCATTTTATCAACACTCTCACAATGATTAAAGCTTTGAACGCGGAACGCAATGCGCTCGCTCCTCGCTCTCGTAGAGAGAGAGAGAGGACCACTCAGAGGTGCCAGGAGAAAGGAGGAACCACAAACGAGGAGCGGCAGCAGCAGCACCAACAGCGAGGCAGAGATCCAGCACCAACAATTACTAAAACTGTGCAGTTCCCTATATATTAAGATGCGGAAGAAAACCGGAGAGCCCCAGAAAACACCCAAGCATGCGAGGGAGAAACACTCTATCCCATACAGACGGAGCAGGTTTTGAATTCCACTTTTCTCGCTGCACCACCCTCTCCTGGCAGGGCCAGGATATTGCACCTCGATTTATTCACGTTTTTTGTAATAATGACGATTTTGTTATTTTCTGTTGTTGTTGTTGTGTGAGCCGCGTGAATTATTTCACGCGTACACAAAACTGAATGCGCCATCACGACCAAATCCCAGCGTGGAATTGCAAGCGCATTTCTCGTTCGTCAAAGTAAAAGGTGGAGAGATGTAATGTATTTCTCTCTCTCTGAACCACAACCTTTATTGGTTGACGCCTGCTAACACCCAAGCACAAAGCCACCGTGCGATTAATTATACGGTCGATTTACCCACCTCCTTAAAGTGTCTGCAACGTGGTGATGATGCGTTCAAATACCAATTAATTACATCGTGTACATTCGTGGACTCTTGGATACGGTATTCTTGTTTTTGTTGACGTTGCGAAGCTAACAAGGGGAAAGGAAACGGAACGAGAGGAAGGGCTAACGGGGAATGCCTTGAAGGCGACATCGGAGATGGGTGCCGAGCCACATTGGCACAAGACGAAACACAAACAGACGAAGAAATGTGCAGAGAGCACCGACCAGCTATCGTGGGGGGCCGTCCATAAATGACGTCACGCCGCACCTGGGGGGGGGGGGGGGGTCGGACATTTGTGACGATGTGTGGCGCGGGGGGAGGGGGTGTTTGAGAAATGTGACGTCACATCAAAATTCGCAACTTTAAATAAATATAGAATTGTTATAACAACACTAATTGTTGTAACAACACTCCTACAACATCAGAGTGCAGCGCCACATTAAACACGCACTACAATGACAATAGATTAAAGCGATTTGAAGCATGTTTTATTTTCAAAATGGAAATATGTTTTTTTTGGGGGGGGGGGGGCAGAGCTTTGTGACGTCATATTTGAGGGGGGGGGTCTGACTTTTTGTGACGCCGTGTGACGAGGGGGGGGGGGGGCGGTCAAAAATCGTCCGAAATCGCGTGACGTCATTTATGGACGGCCCCTTGCCCAGTGGATCGTGATGATGACGACGAGCGTTTACGGAACGGTTGCAAAATAACACGATGTGAGAATATTATTGCGTTATTTTATTTTATCAATTTATTATTTTATTCTCATTCTACGTGACTTTTACCGAAAGAACCAAAGGAGGTGACAAACGTAGTTCAGCACGTGCGGTTGTACTGCATCGCGATTGAACGTGGGTTGCCGCCGTTGATGCTTTAGACCAAATGTGGGGAAGCTTTTTTTTGTGCCAAGGGCCATTTGGATATTTATAACATCATTCGCGGGCCATACAAAATGATCAACCTAAAAATTAGCCCGTTATATTTGGTCAAACATTTAATTAACTCACCCCCAATTACGATGGCTGGAACTGCTTCTCTCTCTTTGGTGAGGCGTGTGGTGATGATGTTAGCCGGTATTGACGATGTTGTTGCTACTCGCAACTGCTTTCCCAAGGTTTTGCTCCTAGATTTATTGAATTTCGAGTCCCGCCTGCGGTTGCATTGGCAGGGCAAGAGACCCAAATGATTTCGCGGGGCCTCATACGGCCCACGGGCCGGACACGTTCCCCACCCCTGCTTTAGACAAACGCCGAATATATTTCTCAAGTCGAACCTGGGTCTGTTATCAGTTTTTCAGTTTTCCAGTTTTATTTATTTGGTATATCCCTGTGAGCCATTCGGCTCTTGAATCGGGTGCAACCGTAACAAACATAAAAACAAAAACATGACACCCGTGCTCATCGGAGTTGCAGGTAAATAAATTCATGTCACCTAAAACTATTTTTTGTTACCGATTCGTGGACGGTCAGAGTCATAACCCGTTATCGCCGGGACAGCCACGCCTTTCAAATGTCGCAATCGTAACGATATTAATCAACGCAACACGACCTTGTGAAGTGACATGTGGGACAAATGTGGGTTACGCGCCATTGCTTTTTGAACGAGACAAAAAAACACCCCATCTCGGTTTATAACTTTATTCGCTCCAGATCCGGATAAAAAAATGTTTTTATGAAAATCGGCTTTAACAGATTTACGAAAGGGCCGAGAGATATGTCAGCTACGCGGTTGAAATATTTTATATATATTGGTGCACATATGTGTTAAAGAAAATCTTCCCAAAAGTAATATTAGAGTTTTACAGACTCTGACCAATGTGGCTTTTTTTATGACCGTCTATAATTTTAAACGATGCAAGGGCACGCGCGCGCGTGCACGTACAACTGACTCCCCTGTGATTGGCAGGGATGAGGTCACGTGGGTTTGGGCAGCTCTGTCAAGTGCAGCTGCATGCGTCGGAACATTACCGTTGAGAGTCTTTATATGCTCAAATTTCACTTTGTGTAATCGTTACTTTATATATATAGCATAATGTCCATGTTACGTAATGTCTATAAAAAAAACATATGCACGGTAAATTAGAAATACAAAAACAGTTAGCAAGGCCAAATACTCGGGACATTTTTTTAAAAGTAGGGTGGAATGTTCGCATTGAAATCATCGCTCCTTTACCAACGTGCCGTTCAGCTCATATGGAGAATCTCCCAACACGCGCTACGACTTGACAGCGCAAGGTTTCGAGAGACAGAGAGAGATAACCCCCCTCCCCCGACCCCACCAGTTGCAGAATTCAACGTCCTACAAACCACGGACGACACCTCCACGGACGCGCTTGCAGAGGGCTCCCCCCATTGCGAAGCGATACAGCCGGCAACTTGTGAAAGAACAACGCTGCCGATGCGGTACGGTGCCAGCGAAGTGGTTAGCACCCGAGCCTCAGAGCATAAAGGTGGACGTGAGTTCCGTCCCCGACTCGGGCGCCTTTCTGAATGTTATCTCTCTACATCCCACCGCTCACCCCTCATGTTCTTCACGAGTTTTCTTCCGAGTTCTCCGGTTTCCTGCCATAGCTAACAACAACAAAAACAACAACAAAACGATACAATGCAACCGCGACTGGCCAAACAACGTTACTCTCGATGCTGAAGATTTGAAAAGAAAAAAAAATCACAATGTAAACCATTCACAATAGGGATCAACACAGCACCACCAGCAACAGCATCAGCACCAACATCGTCTTCCCCTCCTCCGCAACACGTGGGAGGACCACCACCCCCCCCCCTTATACTTTTTCAATCAAGAGTCTTGAGACTCGGCGAGGCTTTCCTGCGTAAACCAGCTCGTCAGCAACAACAGCAGCAGCAGCAACAACAACAAAAGCCCCTTTGAACATCCGCACGAAGTCGCGACGTCTCGCACACTCACGCACATACAAAAAAGAGAAAGGTCCCCCGTATAGCCTTAACAGACTGTAGGGGCAAGTGCTGTTAGCGAGCACCTTCACACACACATACACAAAGATCCCCCATATAGCCTTAACACACATACACAAAGACAAAGATCCCCCATATAGCCTTAACAGACTGTAGGGGCAAGTGCTGTTAGCGAGCACCTATGAAGGCCCGAACGGTACACGAGGGGGTGGGTGGCCAGCACCACGCCCGACCGCCTTTGTCTCCCTAATGGCAATGTTTACACACCGCACCAGGTACTCATTTGAGGCTGAGTCGACCTAGGGGAGGCCCGGTTCAGATAATCGTCACTGGTGTTGGCCGTGAGCGGAAATCGAACCCGAGTCGCCAGGTTCATAGCGCAGCGCGCTAACCGCTACACTACCGCTCCCCACTATAACACAAACACACACACAGACACACACACATACACACACACAAGCACCCCCTCCCTGCCGCCACCACCGCCGAGCCCCCCCCCCCCCCTCTACGGCTGCGAGTCGACCCACGCGTCGCCCTCGCCGGCGCCGTTGACCCGTTGCTCGCGCGAGGACCTCTCGCCGCCGCCGCCGCCACCACCGAGCGCGCTCACTCCCTGCCGCGTCGACGACGTTCCCCTCCTCCTCCTCTGACAGCGACGCCACGCGATCACCGCGACCGACGTGCACGCGACCGCGACCAGTACGAGCACCACGATCGTCACGAGCAGGGTCCGCCCGGCCGGCGCCTCCTCCTCCTCCTCCTCCGGCACCGTCGTCCCGGGGTCGACGCACGAGCGCCCGTCCGCCGCCAGCTCGTAGCCGTCGTTGCACGAGCAGGCGTAGCCGCCCTGGGCGTTCGCGCAGTGATGCTGACAGCCGCCGTTATCGCGGGCGAGGCACTCGTCCACGTCGTCGCAGGAGATTCCGCTCTTGTCCTGCTCGTAGCCCGGCGGGCAGATGCACTCGTAGAAGCCGGGCCCGTTGCGGCACTGGAATATGCCGCAGGGAGCCGTCTGCTCGGCGCACTCGTCCACGTCCGAGCAGTGGGTGCCGTTGACGCGCGCGTAGCCATGGAGGCAGTCGCAGGTGAAGCCTCCCTCGGTGTTGTCGCAGAGGGCGTTATCGCACTGCCCGAAATCGTCGCACTCGTCGATGTCTTCGCACGCCCCCGAGACCCACGCGTAGCCCGCGTCGCAGGGCGCCTCCCTCTGCGGCCGGTGGCTGCCGTCGACGGGCGGCGGGTTCGGCCTGGGACCCCGAGCGCAGGCGTGCTCGCGGCACGACAGGCGACACGCGACACCGCGCACGCCCGTCGAGTCCTCGCAGTACCTTTGAGGGGTTTTTTTGGGGGGGGGTGGGGGAGTGGGCAGAAGCAGCAACAGCAGCAGAAAGAAAACGAAACTGAGCTTTTGAACCATCGTCATCGTCGTCGTGTATGTGTGTCGAACTTCTTTCGCGCCGTACGTAGACATCCGTGCTCATGGTCACGATCCATGGGCAAGATAGCCCACGGGTGCGCACTCCACATTTCGTCATTTGTTTTTCCACGTTTTTTTCTTGGCATTGTGGCAGTTTGCTGAAGTAGTTCCACAACTTTCTGGCACCAATCTTTGACGGTGGCATCAAACCATCATCTGTGATGTCACCCTCTGTTTCCAGTTCCTTACATTTTTCCGAACAAGAGACTTTTAATTTTCCTGCGATTGTCCATCCTGCATGTGTCCAAAGAGTGCCAGTTTCCATCTCATCACTGCATGTATCAGGACTTAAACGACCAGGTAAGGCCGACTGAGCTCTATATGGCTATTTTTCAGACACGACCTGGCCACAAATGATCACTCAAATAAGTGGCTTATCACGTGGAAATGTATAGCAGTCAAATACTCTAAATGCGTGTTGATGCTTAATGTGGTGGTGGGGGGGGGACGGGGAACCAGAGGATCAGGAGAAAAATCAACGCGACCGCGTGGAGAACACACAAACTCCAAACATACAGCAGGCAACCCACGATCTCCTGCATACCAGGCGAGGGAGTTAACATCTCGCAACCGTGGCACTTAACGTGTGCATCAACGTGTGCCCTTGTGGGTAATGGAAAAATAAAGTTACACTGGGCTTGCGCCAACCGGTTATGAGTCTGTCGACGCGAGCAGAAGAACAGCGTTAACTTTGCGGGGAATTATTGATTATTTTTTTTGTATCATCACCGTTTCCGAGCAAGGGCCCAAAGGCACGAGAGTGAACGTCAAACGGCCACTGCTAAAGATGTATTGGGTTCTGTACTTGTTCTTGAAGAGAGCAACTGTGTTAAGAAATTGAGAGGAAAAAGAGGATGGAAGGGAATTTCAAAGTCAGGCGGTGCGTGAAGATGGATACAAGTGTTGTGACCTGCGGTGTGGTGGTGGTGGTGGTGGTTAAACAAAGTGTGGTGCTGGTGGTGCTGGTGCTGGTGATTGAACACAGTGTGGTGGTGGTGGTGGTGGTCGATCAGTGATGGTGGTGGTTGAACACAGTGTGGTGGTGGTGGTGGTGGTTAAACACAGTGTGGTGGTGGTGGTTGTTGATCAGTGATGGTGGTGGTTGAACACAGTGTGGTGGTGGTGGTGGTGGTGGTTAAACAAAGTGTGGTGGTGGCGGTGCTGGTGCTGGAACACAGTGTGGTGGTGGTGGTGGTGGTTGATCAGTGATGGTGGTGGTTGAACACAGTGTGGTGGTGGTGGTGGTGGTTAAACAAAGTGTGGTGGTGGTGCTGGTGATTGAACACAGTGTGGTGGTGGTGGTGGTGGTTGATCAGTGATGGTGGTGGTTGAACACAGTGTGGTGGTGGTGGTGGTGGTGGTTAAACAAAGTGTGGTGGTGGTGCTGGTGATTGAACACAGTGTGGTGGTGGTGGTTGTTGATCAGTGATGGTGGTGGTTGAACACAGTGTGATGGTGGTTGAAGAGTGTGGTAGTGGTGGTGCTGGTGGTTGAACACAGTGTGGTGTTGGTGGTTAAATACAGTGTGGTGGTGATAGTTGAACACAGTGTCGAGACGAAGATGTGAATCGAATCCAACATTTGTTGACCATCGCCCGATGTGAATCGAATCCAACATTTGTTGACCATTGCCCGATCTCTTCCCTCCCCTCGCCCCTCCACTCCTTCCCGTCCCTCCCCATACCCTCCCGTGATCCCCAAGTGCCCCTCTATCTGCGCCAACCATTCCTCAATACCTCGCATCACGCGCATCCCTGCCAACTGACATCATTCCATTTTGAGCCATCGTTCCGCAAGCTACGTCGCCTTCACCATATACAATTTGATTACGTTCTTTTTGGTCCGACGATAGCCGGCAGTGACGAGGCAAGATGGACCTGGCCGCTGCACCGTGGGTCCGAATGAAGGAACTGATCAAGGTGCTTGAGTTTCCCCGCGGTTGCCTGGGGAAGAGGACTACACCTGTAATTTGTCGGTGGCGTCGTGGCGACATTCATATCAGCTCAGGGCGCAGCGGCAATAGGTGCTGGTGGAGGCCCCCAATAATTGATTTGTCTCGATGTAAAGCTTTCGTGACTGCAAGGATTCATCTTCTTTGGTCCTTTCGGTAAAGTCACGTAGAATGAGAATAAAATAATAAATTGATAAAATAAAATAAAAACACAATAAATTGATAAAATAAAATAACACAAAAATAAATCAGTCTCGTCCCCTGCACCTGATGAAGGCCGCTTGTGTTGTGGCCGAAACGTCGTGAGAATATTTTTGTGTTATTTTATTGTATCAATTTATTATTTTATTCTCATTCTACGTGACTTTACCGAAAGAACCAAAGAAAATGTTGTCTCTTCGCACGTTCGCACCTAGAGGCTATTTTTAAATCGTGGCCTCCCCTTGCCCCTAAATCACATCGTCGTTTCGCTCACGGTCTTCAATATTTAACGCTGTGGGGCGCTTGCTGCCGTCTTCGTTAAAATGCAGCCATTATAGCTGCGTAGTTGTAGTAGTCCTAGTAGCAGCTACCTCTTTGCAATATCACGTGACCGCTCGCATTAAATTCAAATATAACGTGGAACGTTAATGAAAGCATTTTCTATTTGTTAAAAAAATATATATAATTTAAACCGCGTTTTAAAATAAGTGTTATTTGGTCTTTTACACACTGATTGTTGAAATTCAAAATCTCACGGTGGTTCTCAAGGCCCCCCCCCCTCTCCCCAAACTCGTAGCTTTGGCCACGGGGGGGGGGGGGGCAAGACACCCACTGCCTGCCCCCCACGCTCGTCACGCTACTGGTAATTGTGCGTTCATGCATACGGAGTTATTTACCGAATTTACGCGTTGTTTAGGACCGATTCTAGCTTTGCATTCTGGAATCCTGCAGCAGATCTTCGCGTGTAGTAACAATACATTTAAGCGTACTCGATACATTGTCTATTGGTTTTGAGATTTGTGAAGACTCAGGAAGGTCCACGACATACTATATCTCGCAGTGCAGAGCTTTAACGGGACCAGTTTGATAACTTAAACAATTTCTATTGAACTATTTGGTATGGAAAGCCCAAAAGGCGTATTAACCATAAGTACCGTATACATGTATTTTTATATATATTGTTTAACGTGGAGACACAGAACAGAGATATTTATCCATAATAAAGGTTTTGTTTTATTAGATCGAGTAAATATAAATGTGTCGTTCAACCCCCCACCACCCGACATAGCCAATTAGTAAGGGTTTGTCACGTAAACGAAACGCGCCAATTCGTTACTCATTCAGCACACCGGGTGTGTTGGAGAGTAAACACACAACATTTGTATTTCGAGCACAACGTTTGGCCGGTAATTACAACCAGCCTCATCAGGCGACAGACAGAGTGTTTAACGACGCATTTATATAACAAAACAAAACTCTATTATGGATAGCATTCGTCTCGAAAGCCTATTACGTCTTCAACAGAGTTGTTTATTTTGATTCGTTTACCCGATAATGCTCCACATTGAGCTTGCAGACTTCAATATTTACTTGGAACATGGCCTCTACCAAAGTTTAGATGAAGAGCTCTGGCCATTAACATCTGGCAACTCATCAGCGCTTGTTGAACCGACTCTGCTGATGAGACCCTGAATGCCGAAATCCGCTGTATAGCTGTACTTGGTTGAAACATCTACTGCTTGATAATATTGCTCCGGAAAAGCCAATTCATCGGCCGATGGACTGACGCACAGCATTGTTGCATACGTGGAGAAGCAGATACTGGAGGAATCCGAAGAGCTACGAAGCTCTTTGTCCACAGACGCCCCAGTAGGAGACGCAGAGCAGAGTTCAGCTAATGCTCTGTATTATTTTACAATTAAACAGCATGGTGCAGTGACAACAGCGCCAACCTCCCCCCCCCCCCACATCAACCCACCATCCCAACATCCATCAAATCGTACCTCTGCCTCCACTCGGAGATGCCTCCACTGGCGTTGATCAACGCCAGGCTGACGCATTGCTCTCGGCCGCAGTCCCACCGCGGCTGCGGCTCCCCGCGCCACCCCGAGTAGGTGACAGCGGACGACGCCCCCGACGCCCCAGCCGCCTGCCACGCGAATCCGCGCAGGGGTCCCTCGGGGTTCGCGCATCCATCGGCTCCCCGCCGCAGACCCAGCCACAGCTCCCCGTCGATGGCCAACGAGGCCGAGGCGACGATCGCCCTCGCGAGCATGTCGGCGTCCTCCTGGTCGAGCACCGTGGCCAGGTGGCCCGGCCCGCCGCTTACGCCCGCGCAGAAGCCACGCGCCTGCTGCAGGCTCATCGCGGAGTCGCGCGACTGATGGAGGACGTAGCACGAATCGTCACCGCACAAGCGCGAGGTGATGGCAACGCGCCTCCCCGCCTCTTTCGCCACCACCTCGTGTTCGTCGGCGTTCACCGCGCTCGCCCCACGCGGCTTCACCGCAACGTCCCCCGCCATCCTGGACTTCCATTTCTCATCCTCTGACACCTCCCTCGCCGCCCGGGGCTTCTCCTCCTGCGACGAGTCGGCGGCTGGCACTACAACAACGACGCAGAGCAGCAGCAGCAGCAGCTGTGGCAGCAGCGCCAGCGACAGAAGCAGGCACCGCATGCTCTTGGCCTACTATCCTCCCCGTTATTCACGTGGAATATCAAATGTGTTGTCCGAACGCTGCTTCAACGAGCTCAATAAATGAACGCGGCTGTGTATAGGTGCACTTCTTGAAGTTAACGACAACGGATACGTATGTGCCTTATTCTTTTCCCCAGCTCGCGAGCTTAGCGAGATTTTGCTACGTTCCAAAATTTACTTTCAACAAACGGTGACGGTCACTGGATTTATCTGCTTAGCAGGAGCAGCAGCAGTTGCAACAATCATCCGATTCAGTTGAGTTAAGTTTATGAGCGGGAGAGGCCGGCACACAACAACAAGCAGAGCAGTCAGCCTTGGCTGTTTCCCTGCCAGCACTGGCAAAGCACATGGTCTGGTTTTAAATATATCTGCTCCACAGATTATTGTTTTGGCAACCGTCTCCCCCTCCCCCCCCGTCTCTCCCTCCTCCTCCTTCTCTCGGCTCTCTAGAATCCCGAGTGGCTCCACCAAAAGCCACTGCTTTTTTGCGTAACTCTTCGTCACACACGAATTGCTGCAAGAGGTGCATCATGGCAGCGCCTCGTAACGATTACGAATGTTAGACCGGTGACTTAAAACAAATCCCCTACCCCCCCCCAAAAAAATGTTGTTGTTTTTTTTAGCTGAAGCAACCGCGTTCAACAAGAATTCGTAAGGGTGACATTTATATATTAGCAACAACACATGCCATGATTCACAAACTTGCGGCTGAGGGTAAACAGCAGGGTCCCTTCTATCATGGTAACTTTCACTTCGCTGCGTTACAAAGTCGCGTGTACGTGAGCGGCCTCGACTCCTTCCTTTCCCCCCCACAGCCTTTTCCGAGTGAGAGAAGCCGCAGCCGGCGTGAATGGTTGGGTTTCAACGCGGAGTGGAACACAAAACGCCGGGCTGCTGACTTTGGAGAAGGGGTGGTTGTCGGGGTGGGGAGGGTTGGTGAGGGTGATGAGGAAGTCCTGGTGAGGGCCCAGTTGGTGTGGGACAGGATCGGAGCGGGGGCTAGGGAGGGAGTCCTGGCTTGTGTATGACTGTGGATCATTAAGCAGGGTAGATATAGGTCAGTGTTCACTAATCTCCAAAGGGGGGGGAGGGGGGGGGTCGTGCCACTTTCGCCGATAAGACATCATCAGTGTGAGTGAGTGGCCTCCTACACAATTTGAAAACATTCGGGGGGTTTGACAACAGCACGATGATGATGATGATGGAGGGGTGTTTTCAAATTTGTGTGTTGTCGGGGACCGCACGAAAGGCCACCAGGAACCGCCAGTCGTCCACGGTCCTTGCGATGAAGAACGCTGCTGTAGGCGATACATGTCGCTCAAATGTGGTCCACCCCTCCTAACAAAGCCACTTCAAAGTAACAGTAAACTTTTGTTCAGAATCATTGTTCAATATATATAGTGTTGGGGGGGGGGGGGGGGGTGTTGCTGTTATAAATTGTGTTTAATTCGTTCGCTTGTGAGTTTGTTGGTGGTCGCCTCGCCAAAAACGCCACGGCTGAATGAACCACCAAGCCGCTGTGAGCGGATGTTTGACGCCAATTGCTGTGGAAGGTTAAATCTCAGTCCGCTGGAGTTTGCACGCACGCGTGTTGGATTTATCGACGTTGTTGCGTGCCCAGTAACGTAGCGAGGGTACTGCTGTCTTGCCACTGTGTTTGCATCGCAGCAAATACTGACAATGCTGCTCCGCGTTAAAGTCAAACAATAGCGCAAAGTGTATTCAAATGCCACCACGTGTGTCCACCCAGCAGTGTGTAAATGGGGTACATGACAGATCGCGTGTGGTGGGGTAAAGTGTGGCTACTTCCGCTTCTTCCACCAAGATGTTTGACCGGTGTGGAAGAGCAGGCCAAAACACCCTCTAGCACAGGGGGTTTGGTTGTAGGGCGCGGTGGGGTGGGTGGGGGTGATCTCTGGACGATATCTCCTTGAGCTAGCAGTGTCATGAGCAAAGGAAATTTCAAGGCCTGTGGCTTTACCCACGAACCTTTACATTTCGATTTAAAGCTTTCGTGGCTGCAGGGATTCATCTTCTTGGTTCTTTCGGTAAAGTCACCACGTAGAAGGGAAATAATAAAATAATGAAAATAAAACATAATAAAATATTATTTTATTTTATAATGTAACATTTTCATTATTTTATTATTTATTTTCATTATTTTATTATTTCCCTTCTACGTGACTTTACCGAAAGAACCACGAAGATGAAACCTTTACATGTTTGAATTTGCAATTGAGCATTCAAATGTTGATGGGGTTTTGTTCGTCAGATTGTCGTAATGGTGTAAACATGAGGCAACCATTAATAGCTACGTAGACACGAGGGCATTCAGAAAGAAGCCCTGAATTCGATTGTTGATTTTGAGCTTGGATGTGAAACTAAACTAAACATTTAGAAGTGTTCGTTGGAGAAAAACAAAACAGATGCGTGTTTGCCATTTGTCCCATTCCTGTGTCCTAAATTATAGGTCACATTACATGCCTGTACAGCGTCTTGTATTGCTTATTTATTCGCGAATTTATTAGTATTTTGTTATCTTCATAACGCCTCGATAAAATACAGCTGCCTGGATAGTGACAACAAATTAACCATTTACCAAAGTTATGTAAACGTTCGTCGCAGGCTCAAGCCAAATTACAGTGGGGTGACAGTATTCTATTACGGTATTAGTACAGCCTACTGTAACAAGTGTTACACGGAGACCGAATGTGTTTGTTTGTACGGTACGATACAGGCACTTAGAAGGGTGGTAAAGTATGGTCAATGCCCCCCCGGTTCCCATGGGTGAACTTTGACTTCTAATATGAGGTGGGGGTGGGGCGGGCCAGGGGTTCGCTTTGTCACTCACATTCGGAGTCGTGGGTGTGTGTGTATATAATGACTTAAAACTTTCGTGACTGCAGGAATTCATATTTTTTTCTGTCGGTAAAGTCGCGTAGATAGAAAAAAAAATTAAATTAAAATAAATTGAAAATAATAAAAGCAAAGAAAAAAACCCCACGACTTTTCGATCTCGCAACACAAGCGGTCTTGTGTTGCGATCGAAACGTCGTGGGTTTTTATGTTGTTGCTTTGGGTGCTCGGGGTCAGTTACTTGGAGCTCACGAGACATCTTCTAGACCATCCTATAAGATCAGGGGTCCCCAACACCCGGGCCGCGGACCGGTACCGTGGCCTGTTGTGAACCGGGCGGCACAGCAGGAGGTGAGGGCGGTGAGTCCGCACGTGGCCCGCCGATTATTTTATTATTTACCACTTCCGTCCGCGCCTCTTTCCCGCACTGCGCGCTTGTCTCAGTCACGTGGTGTTGGTAAGTCCACAAGCTAACCCCTAGTAGCCACAATGAGTAAGCCCACAAGCTAACCCCTAGTAGCCACAACGAGTAAGCCCACAAGCTAACCCCTAGTAGCCACAATGAGTAAGCCAACAAGCTAACCCCTAGTAGCAACAATGAGTAAGCCCACAAGCTAACCCCTAGTAGCCACAATGAGTAAGCCCACAAGCTAACCCCTAGTAGCCACAATGAGTAAGCCCACAAGCTAACCCCTAGTAGCCACAATGAGTAAGCCCACAAGCTCTAACCCTAGTAACCACAATGAGTAAGCCAACAAGCTAACCCCTAGTAGCCACAATGAGTAAGCCCACAAGCTCTAACCCCTAGTAGCCACAATGAGTAAGCCCACAAGCTCTAACCCCTAGTAGCCACAATGAGTAAGTCCACAAGCACTAACCCCTAGTAACCACAATGAGTAAGTCCACAAGCTCTAACCCCTAGTAGCCACATTGAGTAAGCCCACAAGCTCTAACCCCTAGTAGCCACAATGAGTAAGCCCACAAGCTCTAACCCCTAGTAACCACAATGAGTAAGTCCACAAGCTCTAACCCCTAGTAACCACAATGAGTAAGCCCACAAGCTCTAACCCCTAGTAGCCACAATGAGTAAAAATAAACAAACGTCGCTGGAGAGCTTCTTTGAACAGAGGAAAAGACCCAATGATGACTCCCCCCCCGGACCGTGAAAAAATTGTCCTCCACGAAACCGGTCCCTGGTACCAAAAAGGTTGGGGACCGCTGTATTAGAGTACCAGCACACCTCATACCAAAACACGTGAACGCAAGACGACCAGGAGAAGTGTATCCGCTCTATTGCAGTTTAACAACGTCAACAATTGATCTTAAGTTGAACTCAAGCAACGCTCTCAAAGGCGGTAATGTGTTAATGTCAGCAAAGTTCTGCTTGCACGGGCAAAAACATCGCCAATATTTATGTCGCCTTTTTTGTGCTGTGAGAATGGAATGATTACCAAGTCTGCTTACGACTGTAGTCATACGATCGGTATGTCAATGAAATGTAAACGGTTTTTTTCCCCCCACTCAATTTAAATCTTATCTCGTAAAAAAAAAACATCTTAAGAATTATTAATTTCACATCGCGTCGCTCACGCACACTGCATCTCACATTCGCTGAGTCGGAACCACGGACCAAAGCTGAAAGGCTTGAAGCAAGGGCAAATGCTCTGCAGTTCTCTACGCATTAAGATGCTTTCCGTCAAACGGCTGATCAATGCGGGATGAAATCGGAACACCCCAGAGAAAGCTCCCACGCATGCGAGAGGGCAACACTCTATCCCCGTACAGAAAGCGGAGACGATATCAGTCCACGCGTTGCTGTTACCGCATTCTGATGGCGAGCCTGGGATGCGGCACCTCCTGCGGTGATCCACCAACCCCCGCTGCTGCCTCCACGGCGCTGGATCACGGGTCACGTGAGGCAGCAATAGCCACCACCGGCCAAAAAAAAACAACAACAAAATAAAGCTGTTTCAACATTTGCAACGATTGCGGTCTATCAGCCTCCAAGTTTGTGCTTTTTACTCGTGCGTCGTCTGGACCTTTGACCAGATGCACGAATCTGTTTAGCAACGCGCAAACACCACGGGAGGTAAAGCGAGAGTCTGACTAAATCACGCATTTCATAGGGGGCAGGGGGGGGGAACAGAAACACGTCACGATTTCACTTTCAACGGCAGAAATTCCCAGAGTTACATGACAGCCCGCTGAATCATGTTTGGCTTGAGAACAATGCCCGCCTTCGCGACTTGACCGCACTTTGTTGCCTGTAATCCAGGGCGGTGTTGTGAAACTCCCTTCCCCGATGTGTCGGGGAGGTGCCGTAGCCATGGCTTGCCGGGAGAAGACGCTACAGGGATCGAATGTTCCCCCCTCGCACGCGTTGGGTTTAGTCTTTCGGGCGCTCCGGTTTGATTCCACACGTAAACGCTCATCAATTGGCCGATTAACATCTTAATAGTGACAGGGCCTCGGAGCTTGAGTCGTCCTCTTCAAAAGCGAGTGAGTACCATGCAGTGTGTTACAAGTTGGAATTATAATTATTATTCATAATAATCTAAGTGTGT